GTTTATTTGCAGTGTCGGTTTTATTGAATGCTAGCAAGTTACTTATGGATTTGTATGAACTTACTGCAGTTCTGTCATCTGTTGTTTTCTGTGACTTAAGCTTAAAGAGAGGGAGAAGGAGGAGAAGACTTGTCTAACAAACCTCTGGGGCTGAATGTGCCTTCTGCACAAGTGTGTTTGTATGCTAATTTGAATCTTTAAAAAGTAATTAACATCCCTTGTGGCATCTGTTATAAGATGTATATGTAAAACTATGTATGATGGGTATGGATTAACAGACTCCGTGACTTTTTCAAGACATGGTACAGATAGCAGTACAGTACAGTAACAGTTTTTTCTCAAGCCCTTTTCCCGTGACCCACCCACCCACATGCCTGCAGTGACATTAAGGGAAGACTGCCTTCTCTGTAATCCATAGAAACATAGAAAACGAGGGTTGAAAAGGACCTCAGGAGGTCCCATCTAGTCCAACCCCCTGCTCAAAGTAGGACCAGCCCCAACCAGACCATGCCATTTGTTTAGCCAGACCTTAAAAACTTCCAAGGAACAAGCTTCCACCACCTCTCTGGGTAACCTGTTTCAGTGCTTTACTACCCTGCTAGTGAGAAAGTTCTTCCTACTATTTCACCTAAACTTCCCTTGCTGCAACTTGAGCCCATTGCTCCTTGTTCTGTCATCTGCCTCCACTGAGAACAGTGTAGCTTCATCCTCTTTGCAACCCCCCTGCAGGGAGTTGAAGGCTGCTATTAAATCCCCCTGTCTCCTTTTCTCTAGACTAAATAAGCCCAGTTCCCTCAGTCTCTTCTCACAAGTCATGTCCCCCAGCCCCTAACCATTTTGTTGCCATCTGCTGAACTCTCTCCAATTTGTCAACATCCTTTCTGTAGTGGAGGGCCCAGAACTGAACACAGGACTCCAGGTGTGGCTTCACCAGTGCTGAACAAAGGGCAGTAATCACTTCCCTTGATCTGCTGACAGTGTTCCTACCAATGCAGCCCAGGATGCCGTTAGCCTTCTTCACATGTCAAGGATGTCCAGCCAGGGGCCTCACATTGCACAAGTCATGAGCCCTGGGCCATGTACCACATGGGCTGTATGCAGTGGACCCATATAAGTTCCCCACAGTGTACAGGCCCTTTGCTGCACAAGCAGGATTGTCAACTGTGTAAAATTACAAACAGTCAAAAAAAAAAAAAAAAAAAAAAAAAAAAAAAAAAAAAAAAAAAAGGAGGGGGAGGATTTGGGCTAAAAATTCTCATCCATAGAGTCCGCAAAAAAATTTGGGCCGTCTATAAAAAGCTAAGAAATCATGAGCTTGATTGAGGATCTGTCGTCAGAATGAGGCTGGATGTAAGTGTTGGACAGACAGAGGAGAGCAGCACCACCTTGCGTCTGAGCAAGAGTACAGCTTGATGCCCAGAAGGGAGCTCTTAGTCAGGACTTTGTTGCCCATGGTAGTCTCTAGTCTCTTTCCCACCTCTTCTTGCCATGTGCTGCTGCTGTGTCCCATTGCCTACCTGTAATGACTGTTTGCTTCAAAAGTAGGCCAAGCCAACCAGCCCAGTCTGAAGCGCTGGGCTGGACAGGAAGGGGAGCAGTACAGTCGCATCAGAGTTGTTGTGCAGGGAGAGGTGGCAGGTGGGCATCTGTAATGGGACAGGGGGAGTGGGTCTGACCAGGGTAAGGTTGGGGGTTCATTGGGAGGGGGCAGCATGATGTGGAGGGCAATCAAGTGCATCAGGGTGTGCAGGTTAATGACCCTCGTGGTGGGGGCAGCACACTGTAAAACCACTGATGCAGTCAAGTAAAACTGAGACTATTAATGGTTTGGGTTTCATTTAATGTTTAATGGTTAGGTTTTCTCTAAAGTCATGTCTTTGTTTTCTTTCCCCCTGTAATAAACCCTGTTTTAGCCGAATGTTGTTTGTGAGTGGGGAAGTCTGTTCATGCTAAAACTTGTTTTCCCAGGTTTCTGGGAAGCTTGAACCAGATTTAGAAAGTTGGTGTTCAACCCCTAAATTTGAATCTGGCCCTTGTTATCACAATCCAGGGCATAGCAGAAGGGTTGCATTTAAATTATGTAAAAGATATGTCAGTAAAAAGGGTTGGTTGTCAGTAAAAAGTTTGTAGATTGTCAATAACCCCCCCCCCCCCCCCAACCACAACACCCACTGTTGTACTTTCCCCCCCCCCCCCAACAAAAAATCCTTTTTGTTAGGTTGGCAGCCATATGTATAAGCCCCACTGCCAGTTATGTGAGCCCCCCCCACAGCTTCTGCCATTGCTGCCATTCAAGTAGTGGGAACCCCCTCATTCCTCCCTGTCCACCCGCTGCCACCACTGCATGGCACCACCACTGTCTCCCCCACTGCTGCCATATGAACCCCCCACTGTCCAAACCACACGGGCAATTCTCCCCTTTAACACCCCTGTTGCCACATGAGGATTGTGTGCCCTCCAGTTGGTGCTGGTACATGGGTGACAAGCTCCCTGGGCCTCTGTCTGTGCTGCCTGCCCCCAGAGACCCCAGCCGCTGCCTCCACAATAGCAACTGGGTGGGAGCCTGGCAGTCCCATGTTAGTCTCTCAACCTGCAGTTGGACAGCCCTGTCCCATGTCACTGAATGGCATGAGGACAATAACAGCTTTTAGCTGCTACAGATCAGAACAATACAATAAATGGAAGGAAATGATTTCCATTGCTGATTCCTGCAGTGTGATCAAGCTTAAAGTGTAGCTTGGACAGCTGTTCATAAATTATGTAAACGTGCATATCAAAATTTGGACTGTTACATCCAGTAGGGTTGAGACATTCTCTTGATTTTATACCAGGGACACTGTTCAGTGCAAGTTGGTGCATTCAGTAACTTCACTTTTCCCAAGCTCTGAATTTATTAACTTGCTTGTGCTTCGGGGAACATCATTACATTCAGCAATAAATATGAAATGTTGACTTATATTTATTATTTATCTTGCAAGAAATTGTACTTAAACAAGTGAGTAAACGGTGGAAGGAAATGAGTGTGTTTTTAAAAAATGTGATCTTTTGATTCAAGTGCCTGCACAATGTTTGAAAAGTTTGTCAGCATTTAATAAACTTGCATCTGCCAAAAGAGTTTCCTGAAGCTAGCAAAAGAAACATCATTCAGAGCCTTTTTTCCCCGTTGTACTTGGTTATTGGTCTGCAAGTTCCCCTTTCTGTTTCATGTCCCCCTTATACTTGGAAATAAAGGAGTATCTGAAAGGCAGAGTAGCAGTCTGAACAGTTTCCAAGTGGTTTTAGATTTGGTTTGGAGCTTTCAGTGTAAAATACAGTTTGGGATCTTATTGAAAAGACAGTGTACCCAAGGATCAGGATTAGTTTAATTCAGTGTAACGTATTTTGAGAACAGAGTACTGTAAAGTAGTTGTTTTTTGAGATATTTTGTTGATTGAATCAGAGATGGAATAATTTCTGAGAATAAAGATCCTGTCTAGCTCAAAGTGACTTTTACAGATCCTGTACATTTTGGAGCAGAAATCATTAGACTCTACAAAGGGGCTTTTGTGCCTGTTCAGCTCATTTGAACTGTTTTTTTCCCCCTACAAACATGGCCAAGAATCCTGTAATACAGGCGATCTCAATCTGGTAGTGAGCAGCTGGTGAGTTAGCTAATGGTATGGTACAAAAATTAATTTCTCAACTCAAACTGTTAAATGACAGCAGTTCAGAAATAAGTAATTAAGGACATTTAAAAAAAATCCTTACACTGTCCACCTAATAAAAATCAATACACTGTCTTTATTAAGTACACAAGAATGTGCATTTTATTTTAGCACTACAGTCTTTCTTGGCTTTGACCTATGGATTCTCTTAATTTAATTATTTTACTTATAAGATATTATCCAAGTGGTTTTTCCAACCTGTTAGGTTGGAAATTTGCTAACACTGATCAAGGGAGAATATTTTGGATTAAGCTTTTCCTTGGGAAGACTGTTATAAAAGGAGTTAATAGGGAAAATGTAGAACATTGTATAGCCCAAGTCTATTTGGAGACCTGTGTCTGAAGTTGAGGATACACCCCTACTATCAGATTTCATTTTCAAAAGGATTTTGTATTTTTACTTTGAGATTAACAATATACAGATATTTATTTGGGGTCATAATTAAGGTTTTCATTGTTATTAACTATTTATTTCCTGACTTTTGAGTGCTTAAGTTATGTAAGTGTTCCGCATTTTCTGTTCACCGGTGTCACTTTACATTTAAAATAGTACAGTTGTTGAATGACTGTGTTTTTTAATGTGCTTAATTTTTTATGTAAACTAAAATACTGGGTCTTTTAAAATAAACTGGTGATCTGCTTTCTCCTACTTATTAAATTAAAAAGGCCTGACTGGTGTATATGTCTGTTTATAAGCAATGCCAGCTTTGTATTTGTGCTGGTGACATGTTTATTGATGAAGCTAGTGTCAGAATCAACGGTATTGAGGCAAAATCTTTATTTAAGTCATTGAAAAAATGTAATGCTGTTGCTCTTTGATTTTTCTCTCTTCTTCAAAGTTGAGAGTTGTCTTGATATCACCTAGTGGCACTGTTTTAAGCATTTTACTGCATTTCTCTCCATACTTCATGGTGTATTAGAAAATGTCAAACTCTTTTCAGGTTTCCAATTTGATGGCATGATGTACCCTTCTCAAAGGTTTAGAAGGTTATAAAACTGTAGAGCCTCAGTGCTATGAGGCCCAGAAGCTGACATTTAATAGTTTGAAAAGGTAGATGTTAAATTTTACTAATGTTATGGTAATTATGGGTCACCCACTATTGTTACTTACAGGCTGTATGAAGTTATTAAAAAATGACAGTCATCCTGTAGCTGTAGAGAAGGCTGTTGCTAAATTTTTAAGCATAAAATTCTAAAACAAAAAAAGTCTTAATAGAGAGTTTGTAGTACTTGCTTTGAAAAGACAAATGTAGCAGCAAATCTGCCCCTTGCACACTTATTCATTTTGTGTTTTCAGAAGAAAGCCAAAGGCCAGCATTTGTTTGAGCAGATTATGTACCATCTGGACCTCATAGAAAGTGACTATTTTGGACTGAGGTTTATGGATTCTGCACAAGTCGCGGTAAGTAATGAGTCTTAATTTTTTTAAACTTTAAGCGTTGATCAACAGGTTACCAGAAAATACCATATTTTCTCTCCTTTTAAATGGTCTGGATTTTCCACTAATAAAGCTAACCTTTCTTAGGGGAGTTTTCTTATGCTAGCTTCTCTGGGTTTCTCCTCCTGTTTCACTGTCTAAGCAAGAAACAGTCTGAGTCAGTAAGCTCTGTCCCTACTCTATGCAGCTATAACTCTGGAAAAATCTTTTTTTTCTTCATCCTGCCTTTTAAAACCAAGGTGTGTATTAAATTCTGGAAGAGTGTTTTATGTGACAAAATACAGTATTCATTACTTGAATTGTCTTAATTGAAAAAAATGGAGTTTTCCAAAATGTTATTAAACTTGCATCACAAATGCTAAGCCATCACAGTCTCTCATGTATTCTTGTTCTTCTCTTTCACTCTTACCAGTTACTACTCCTTTTAAAGTCAAGCCAGGTCTTCCATAGCACCTGTTTCAGAAATGCTTGGTGCTGCTGATTTAAGAGGGTTGGTGGCAAGAACTGTACTTGCCTGGTTTTTCCTTTTGTGGTGATGTTGAAAGAGGCAGTCTCTGGCAGCTTGTGGTACCCTTGGCATCCTAGTTGGCAGTAGCATTTGGTCAGCATCCACTATCAGGATGAGGCTTTTTCTGGTAAGGAAGCCAAATATCTAATTTGTTCAAAGCCATATTAAGTCTTAATCCTGCAACTAACAAGTGGTGGGCAAACCTCTTGTGTTAGTGTAAAGATGATAGCAAGATGACATCAGGATCTGGTCCATTGTCAATTAAGCCATTTGAAAGACCCGAACAAATGTGTACATGCATGAATTCAAAGAAAAAAGCAAGCTTTTAAAAATGCCTGTCCCTTTCAAGCGACAACAGAGGAATATTGCAGCATTTGTCAGAAGTGCTGAGTACCCGCTTCCCTTGTTGTCTGAATTTGACCGTGTAGGTACTCCACTGATCTCTTTGGGAGTCCTACAGCATGACTTCTAGATTGATGCTTTAGCCTTTCCCTCAAGAGTAGCCACAGACTTGTGTCCAAATTAACAGTTTTTAAGAGTAGACGTGAATGGTTTACCTTAAAATGGCATTTTAGGTGACAAAGCTGTTTTGGGAAAGCAAAGCCCCATTTATCTCTTCAAATGAGGTTATCAGCAAGGCCTATCGTCTTGAAATCCTGGGTCATCTACCCTCAGATATTGACTTTATGGTGTCCTACGTGGACCCCACAGGTCAATATTCCACTGAATGTGAGTTTTGTAGAGTGCTTTGTTTTTCTAAAGAAAAATCATCTGAACTTGGATACTCTTAATGTTCAAGGCAGAGGCTAGTGTTAACTTGAGCACACGTCACTCTGCTGAAGTCTTGAGTGACATCCACTTAAACCAGTAATAGAAATGGTCCTTGGTCCCAGGAGACATCTTGCACTGAAAGAGAGAAGCTGCATTTCCTACCCTCCGCTCTGGAGACTCCTGCCAGCGGTTGGTTTTGCACCAAAATACTCTCTTTGTAGGATCACTGAAGACAGTAATGAAAATTAATTGCTATGGTTGGGGTCCCTTGGAGAAATAGTTAAAGAAGGGTGGTGTCAGGACACAGACATGGAAATGAGGATACAATGATGGAGAAACACACTCCAGCAGTTGTGCTCAGTAACATATTCCAATTCAAATACTAAAACCGTCTTCATTATCTGTAGCTTAAAGAAAATAATTTTTATTTCCATTCTCTTATCTGTATCAGTTATTCCTGGTTGCAATTACTGCTGGAGCATGTACATGATCTGTATGCTCATGTGACAGGACACTGAATACTACTTTATTAATTTAAAAGCCCTGTACATGACCCATGTGGTTTGTTACTAAAGATGCAAGACGAAGCTATTGCTTTGTGATGGCTGCTTGTAAACTGCTCTGTTGTGTTTAAATCCACCTGTTGTGCTTGGGGTACATAGGTGGAATTTTTAATTAATTTTAGTGCTGCTGTGTTCCTTGGGAAGCATTTCCCTGTAAGACCTCATTCTCTCCCCACCCTTTCTTGTTTAAACCATCTTGTGTAGCTATTTTTCTTCCTCGGGTTGTATTATTTGGTAACATTGGTTCTTCCTTGGGATGAAAAATGAATGGCTCATGATTTAGTTCTCTGGACAAGTTAGAAGTTCCCATCCAGATGGCTCTTTCTGGGTAGTCAATACTGTATCACCTGCTAGCTACATGTAGTTCATAGTTTTGGTTTGCTTCCTTTTTTCCAACTCTGCTACATGCTGGGGAAAAAGAGAAGCAGTAGTGTGTTTCGTTGAGCCTCTAGCTAAAGGCTTTTAAATGCAAGAATAAGGCAAAATGAAGAGCAGAATGACCATGCGACTTGCCCAGGACTCTGAAGTCAAGTCTCAGAAGTTGCAAACTACCTTTCATTTCAGATGGAGCTAGCCATTTCAGTACTTCTGGGCTGAGACTAAAAATATTCCCACTCTGGCTAGCGGTATCTGAAGGCAGGAAACCTTGTCCCACTGCTGTTTTTACTTCTGAAATGTGGAGGGCACATGATATGGTAATATGGGTTTGTATAATATATGCATAATGAAAACTTACTTAACTACAGATAAAAGGAATTCATAAAATATTGCTTACACTGTTGACCTCTCAGTTTTCAAAACTGTAATACCCTTAATTTTCTTGTTTTGTATTTGAAGCCCCTTTCTCTTGTTCTTGATCTCTGGCATTGACTCGGGCCTTTATCTACAGATTAATATCAGAGTTAATAGAGATATGTCAGAAGCTGTCGATGAAAATGCTACCCATATCTTTGCAATGAATTTTCAAGTTAAGTTTCAAACACAGGCTTCCCCCCCCGCCCCCTTCTTTAAATGAGGTTTTATAGCCTTGTGTGAAGTGAAGAAATATCTCATAATATTCACCTATCTTCTGTATTTTTAGCATGCTGTGTGGGAAACCTTTTAGGCTATATAGGAAAAGCCACCGTTGGCAAAAAGGAGAGTCTGTAGAGTACCACTCTTGATCCAGTGCAGACTGAAGTCATTAGAAGGGCTCATACTGATTTGAGTAGCTTTAGATCAAACCGACAATGAACAATGTAACCCAATCTAGATGCATGGAAGATAAAGATGATTTACTGGAGACTTTAGGCCATTTGGCTTATCCCTTAACAGGGCCATAAATGTATAGTCTCTAAGAAGGAGTTACTGAACTTTAATCTGGTAAATTTACTTCAATCTAACATACAAAGAGCTTTTGGAATCAGGTGCTATGTAAGGCTAATGGGATTGTGAAATAAATTACTTTTTGTTGTACTGAAACAGTTACTTTGGCTACTGTAGTTTTTAACATAACTTGGATAGCATTATTATCACAATAACAGAACAGTTAATTCCACAAAGTAGAAAGACCTTTGGCTTTTTATCAAACAAGCCTGTTCTTGCCATTTTGTTACCAGGCTGTTGTTTCTCATTTCTGATGAAGTGGCACACTCCAGATGGCTTTAAGAAGGACTTCAGCTCCCTCTTCATCTGATATGTTTTTGATGGTTAATTAGTGATTTGCCTTTGTGAACATTATTCCTGAATTACGATGGGAGAGTGCACCGAATATAAGCGCTCATCACAATGTTAAGCTAGAAAGATCAGTCCTGTTTGAGTTCCATCTTAATCACTTGGAATAAAAGCAACTTTCCTAGGAAGGGTTGAAGACTATTCCCAAGGCTTTGTATCTGTAAAAAAAAATATATATATATATAGCTGTATTTCCCTTCTCCCACCTCCCCCTCCATACCATTCAAGCTGAACTGTTGTAGGTGGTGGTGGCAGGAGCTGAGTCAAGTAAAATGCTATCAGTGCCTGTCTCGGGCCTCTTAACTGCCTACCACTGGAATGTGGAGGAGATGAAAGAAAACAGACTGGAGATAAAACAGACATGCATGCAGTCTGAAAATGGCCCTTTTCTCCTCATCTCGCTACATTACACATGACAGTGAGAGATCGTGTTTCTTTTCTGAGAAAATAGCCTGCTCTGCTCCATTGGGTTAGAACTTGAAATGTGAAAAAATTATGGCTTGAATATTTTCATTGGGTTACTCCTTACAGTCCTGCTTTGTTCAGAAATGCTATTAACTTCAGTTCATAATGAAGGACCTCCCACTTGTGAGATTTTTTTTTTGGAGGTTTTTATGAAGATGTACCATGTCCATAACCACTTAAAAAGTAGTTCACAGAAATAAATGATTGCTCATCTTTCTTAGCTGGATCTAGATCCAAGACACATAGTAGCAGTTGTATATCCCTGTTCCAGTGGCTGCCTGGATTGCAGGTATCCTCCTGGTATTGCGAATTAGCATGTGGAAGGAGAAGGCGAGACTGCTTTGTTCTTTGGAGGAAGCAACACATTTACATGCCAACGCCTCTTCTTTCCCACGCTAACATTGCTGCACCTTCCTTACTGGGGGGCCTCTTTGCACTATATGGCATGCAGTTGAACCAGGGGAGCACTGCATATTTATACCACTCAGTTAGACTGATAGGAAGGAGGCATCTGGAATCAGCTGATCGAGGTGCTTATTTAGTTGGTCTAATAAAAGATATCAGATTTACCCAAAGAACCTTGTCTGCTCTGAGTACTGTGCGCTGATCTGTGCATGGCATCTTATTACAACCGTTCAGCCAGTACAATTTATATTGAGGAAGATGCAACACGTATTCCCTGCCCGAGTCATGACTTGCAGAGAGGGGTAATTTGAATATTGACACCTCTTGCCATAGGTTTCAGCTGCTGGTTGCATGAGACGTCCAGCTCAACTCTTAGCTTATTGTGCAACCTCTGCAGTAATGGGAGCGTAGCTGTGTGGACCCTTCTGGCCAGGGTGCCATGGATTTCTAATCCTGGCAGTTGCAAGTAAGGAGACAAATGAATTGGTCACACATATTGGCTGAATGACGCACATGCTGTGATGTGGAATCTCCTGCTTGCTTGTAAGTAGGGACCTACTTAACTCATGATGAGACAAAGCAGAGAGGGTCTGGGGAAGGGGTCAAGGAGGGATGAGGGGTCAGTCGCCATCTTGACTGGTTGCCCTTTGTCTGGCCCCGCCCCTCAGTGCTGATTGGTGGCAAGGCCTGAGGTGGGTGGGGGGGAGGAGGGCAGCTGCGATCCTGTCTGCTGCCCTCCTTGTACCGCCCCACCAGCTGGTAACCCCTCCCAGGTGAGCTCCAAGACCTGCCCAGCAGGGGAAGACTTAATAAAAAATTGGTTTTTGTGGATTGTGTGGGCAGCCCTGGATTTCACGGTTTCCTCAATCTACAAAGCCGCAATTTAGGTAGTTCCCTACTTATAAATGCAGAAGCTCCCTTCCTACCCAGAGGTGTGCGGTGTGCTCTCATACATGCAATTATGTACTCAAAAACATGAAGTCAGGATCTTGACCTCTGAGAATGAACTGTGGTATTTTAACACGTATCTTAGAGCATGAGTTCTCAACCAGGATGCCATGGATTTCTACTCCTGGCGGTTGCAAGTAAGGAGGCAAATGAATTGGTCACACATACTGGTTGAGTGACACATGCTGTGACACAGAAAGTCCAGACCCCTGGGGAACCCCAGGCTGTGCATGCTGGATTTGGCACCTGATCCTAGCATGCAGGGCCAGAGATGGTGGTACTGCTCCCCTGGCACCCAGTCCTTGTGTGCAGGGAGCTGGGGGAAGTAGGGGGCAGTGCCTCCCAACCGAATCCTGGAGAGGGCACTGCCAAGCCTCAGCCTTGGTCAGCCTGCAGACAGGCCCCATGCCAGTCGTCTGGCCCACAGAGCCAAAAAGTTGAGCACCCCTGGACTCATTCAAAGAGGCATGCACTTTCGTAGGCTACAGCCTACTCCCCCAAATACTGAATGGTAGCCTCATTAGTCTGAAGTTAGGCAGAAGGCAGGGCCTCTCTTAGTGAAACCTCCTTCCTCCCTCTTCCTTAACATTTGTATTTATATGACTTGATTCCTTTCTGTTTAGTACCCCCCTTCTATTTACAAGTCCATTAGTAGGATCTGCCAAAATAGGTTATGAAAGCTGCTGCCTCCAAACAAGTTAGTCCATAAGGTGCCATGCTGCTCTGCTCTGTCTTTGATTTTTGCATCTGTGTAAAGATCCTTTTGTTAACTCGTATTATGATAAATTCATTTTAACCTAAAGATTTTTTGTCTTTCAGCACTGGTTGGACAACACCAAAAGCATTAAAAAACAAGTTAAAAGTAAGTGTCCCTTTTAAATTTTTGGTCTGTTATTCTGGGCACATGGAGTTCAGCAGCATTTGCTGCTCTGGTATTTGGTTTGGCAGGAGCTGGCAGCAGTCTGAGAGAGGTGATGTCATGATTAAAGCCTGGCACATTCTTCTGATGATCTAATTTCCCTGTTGCTCTTCTTTTTTTTAACTTCAGTATAATTTCTTTAATCAAAACATGCTGAAGGCTCATTAACCATGAGACAGGTTTATTTGAAGTCAGAGTAACTGAGACTGCAGCGCTACTGGTAATATTTTTCTGACAAAAGGGAAAGTTGCCTTATTGTCCATCCCTTGCAGAGTACCCTAATCCATGTCTGATCTGCCTATGAAATTACATGTGGCATAAGTGTTGGTAGTTGCCTGTGGGGTGGGTTCAGTGAAGCATGTTCTGATAATGGCATTAGCATGTCACTTTTGGCTCCCTTTTAGGTGGTACTTTGCTGCTGGCTGTAAGTAGTCTTTAGGAACTTGTGGTGCTAAATTAATAATGAAAATTTTGGAAGCACTATCAGAGAGACGGTACCTAGCATTCAGTTTGCAAATCCATCTAGAGCTGTGCAGTTTTGAAAAATTTTTAATCCAGTCTTTGGTTGGATTAACTTTTTGCCTTAAGAACGGGCAGTGCCTCGACCGAGGGATTGTTAAACCCCAGTAAACTGGGTCTAAAACTCTGTGGAATATGGTAGCCTAAGTTGTCAACAGCAGGTATTTCCCAGAGCCTTGAAAACGTCTTACACAGAGCAGCAGAGTTTGGAGGGATTTGGCTGAGTGCAGAGCCAAGATTCACAGCTTTCTCTGTGATAGATAGAGCCCTTAAACATTGGGATTAACCTAGATTTGTCTGTTCCTGGCAAGACAGATCAACTTAATGTGATACGACCGTTGGATTGATGTGTAATATATGAAACACAGTATATTGTGGGTGTACTTAAGCACTTGCTTTCATCCTGATTTTTTTAAAGTTTATTAATTTGTTTGTCACAGGGAATTCTTGCCTCAAGTACCTTGTAGTGAAGTAAAAATAGTGTTAGATTTAATGCATGATTCCATTTGATAATAAATGCAAGTCTTCCCTGGGTAATCAATGTCTTAAATGTGTTCTACTTTGCAGTTGGCCCACCATATTGTCTGCATTTTCGTGTGAAGTTTTACTCCTCTGAACCCAACAATCTCCGTGAAGAATTAACAAGGTAGCTATGAAGCATGTTGTGTTTCTCTTAGCAGGCATAACTATTTATAAGAATTAGTTTGCTGGATTTTTTTAGATAATGTGTCCAACACCATTTTTCATTTAATACGTTATTTGATGCATCTTCGCATTACTGAGCTCTGCTACCTAGGGTAAGCAGGTATTCTGAGACACTAACAGCCTTTTCTAACTGGTGCTTGTTAGAATTAAATTCAGTTAGGTCCCTTCACTAGTAGGACTTCTGCAAAATATATATAAAATGGAAGATTTTTTTCTCATACCATTGAGATGCAAGTCCACTGTAGTACATGTGCAGGATTCTCTATCCGTGGGTAGTTTCATATCCTTCCTCTTGGGCTGTTAGAGGTAAAAATCAAGACTCTTTTGAAATGTATTGCCTGTGTTCTGAAGGAGGGAAGAACGTAACAGATTTGAATGACAAGATAAGCTGTAGAAGGCAGCTTAGTTCTGCTGTTGGAGAACCTGTGTTGGAGAAAGTGTAAATTCTTCCTTGAATACTCCCATTTCTTTTAGTTGTAAGTACTGCAAACTGCACCAGTCAGAGCAGGGAATGTGGATACATTACACATTTTTTTCAGTATGTGTTAGTGTGGATCTTGGCTTTGCACTTAGTGAAACCCCTAGGAACCCTTGTTACTCTGATAAATGCCCATGCTTGCGCGCAGCCGCAGCACAGCACATAGGTGGCAAGGGTTGCAGCCAGCAGTGTGGAGAGCTGCCTCCAGCTGGTAAGTCTGGTGTGGTGGAAGGGGACGAGCAAGGGGCATGCAGGGGGGCCAGATCAAGGCCCCCACAGTGATAGAGGGAGGGAGTGAGGCTGGGCCTGGGGCAGGCACAGGACGCAGGGTGGGGGTGGCCCCCAGATCTGTGTGGCGCGGGGCAGGCTGCAGCTGGGGCCGGGGTGGGTGCGGGAAGGAAGGGGCTGCTCCCACTGCTGCGCTTAGCTTGTCCAGTGGTCATCTGGCAGCTCCCTCATAGGTTTCAGCTGCTGGTTGCATGAGACGTCCAGCTCAACTCTTAGCTTATTGTGCAACCTCTGCAGTAATGGGAGCGTAGCTGTGTGGACCCTTCTGGCCAGGGTGCCATGGATTTCTAATCCTGGCAGTTGCAAGTAAGGAGACAAATGAATTGGTCACACATATTGGCTGAATGACGCACATGCTGTGATGTGGAATCTCCTGCTTGCTTGTAAGTAGGGACCTACTTAACTCATGATGAGACAAAGCAGAGAGGGTCTGGGGAAGGGGTCAAGGAGGGATGAGGGGTCAGTCGCCATCTTGACTGGTTGCCCTTTGTCTGGCCCCGCCCCTCAGTGCTGATTGGTGGCAAGGCCTGAGGTGGGTGGGGGGGAGGAGGGCAGCTGCGATCCTGTCTGCTGCCCTCCTTGTACCGCCCCACCAGCTGGTAACCCCTCCCAGGTGAGCTCCAAGACCTGCCCAGCAGGGGAAGACTTAATAAAAAATTGGTTTTTGTGGATTGTGTGGGCAGCCCTGGATTTCACGGTTTCCTCAATCTACAAAGCCGCAATTTAGGTAGTTCCCTACTTATAAATGCAGAAGCTCCCTTCCTACCCAGAGGTGTGCGGTGTGCTCTCATACATGCAATTATGTACTCAAAAACATGAAGTCAGGATCTTGACCTCTGAGAATGAACTGTGGTATTTTAACACGTATCTTAGAGCATGAGTTCTCAACCAGGATGCCATGGATTTCTACTCCTGGCGGTTGCAAGTAAGGAGGCAAATGAATTGGTCACACATACTGGTTGAGTGACACATGCTGTGACACAGAAAGTCCAGACCCCTGGGGAACCCCAGGCTGTGCATGCTGGATTTGGCACCTGATCCTAGCATGCAGGGCCAGAGATGGTGGTACTGCTCCCCTGGCACCCAGTCCTTGTGTGCAGGGAGCTGGGGGAAGTAGGGGGCAGTGCCTCCCAACCGAATCCTGGAGAGGGCACTGCCAAGCCTCAGCCTTGGTCAGCCTGCAGACAGGCCCCATGCCAGTCGTCTGGCCCACAGAGCCAAAAAGTTGAGCACCCCTGGACTCATTCAAAGAGGCATGCACTTTCGTAGGCTACAGCCTACTCCCCCAAATACTGAATGGTAGCCTCATTAGTCTGAAGTTAGGCAGAAGGCAGGGCCTCTCTTAGTGAAACCTCCTTCCTCCCTCTTCCTTAACATTTGTATTTATATGACTTGATTCCTTTCTGTTTAGTACCCCCCTTCTATTTACAAGTCCATTAGTAGGATCTGCCAAAATAGGTTATGAAAGCTGCTGCCTCCAAACAAGTTAGTCCATAAGGTGCCATGCTGCTCTGCTCTGTCTTTGATTTTTGCATCTGTGTAAAGATCCTTTTGTTAACTCGTATTATGATAAATTCATTTTAACCTAAAGATTTTTTGTCTTTCAGCACTGGTTGGACAACACCAAAAGCATTAAAAAACAAGTTAAAAGTAAGTGTCCCTTTTAAATTTTTGGTCTGTTATTCTGGGCACATGGAGTTCAGCAGCATTTGCTGCTCTGGTATTTGGTTTGGCAGGAGCTGGCAGCAGTCTGAGAGAGGTGATGTCATGATTAAAGCCTGGCACATTCTTCTGATGATCTAATTTCCCTGTTGCTCTTCTTTTTTTTAACTTCAGTATAATTTCTTTAATCAAAACATGCTGAAGGCTCATTAACCATGAGACAGGTTTATTTGAAGTCAGAGTAACTGAGACTGCAGCGCTACTGGTAATATTTTTCTGACAAAAGGGAAAGTTGCCTTATTGTCCATCCCTTGCAGAGTACCCTAATCCATGTCTGATCTGCCTATGAAATTACATGTGGCATAAGTGTTGGTAGTTGCCTGTGGGGTGGGTTCAGTGAAGCATGTTCTGATAATGGCATTAGCATGTCACTTTTGGCTCCCTTTTAGGTGGTACTTTGCTGCTGGCTGTAAGTAGTCTTTAGGAACTTGTGGTGCTAAATTAATAATGAAAATTTTGGAAGCACTATCAGAGAGACGGTACCTAGCATTCAGTTTGCAAATCCATCTAGAGCTGTGCAGTTTTGAAAAATTTTTAATCCAGTCTTTGGTTGGATTAACTTTTTGCCTTAAGAACGGGCAGTGCCTCGACCGAGGGATTGTTAAACCCCAGTAAACTGGGTCTAAAACTCTGTGGAATATGGTAGCCTAAGTTGTCAACAGCAGGTATTTCCCAGAGCCTTGAAAACGTCTTACACAGAGCAGCAGAGTTTGGAGGGATTTGGCTGAGTGCAGAGCCAAGATTCACAGCTTTCTCTGTGATAGATAGAGCCCTTAAACATTGGGATTAACCTAGATTTGTCTGTTCCTGGCAAGACAGATCAACTTAATGTGATACGACCGTTGGATTGATGTGTAATATATGAAACACAGTATATTGTGGGTGTACTTAAGCACTTGCTTTCATCCTGATTTTTTTAAAGTTTATTAATTTGTTTGTCACAGGGAATTCTTGCCTCAAGTACCTTGTAGTGAAGTAAAAATAGTGTTAGATTTAATGCATGATTCCATTTGATAATAAATGCAAGTCTTCCCTGGGTAATCAATGTCTTAAATGTGTTCTACTTTGCAGTTGGCCCACCATATTGTCTGCATTTTCGTGTGAAGTTTTACTCCTCTGAACCCAACAATCTCCGTGAAGAATTAACAAGGTAGCTATGAAGCATGTTGTGTTTCTCTTAGCAGGCATAACTATTTATAAGAATTAGTTTGCTGGATTTTTTTAGATAATGTGTCCAACACCATTTTTCATTTAATACGTTATTTGATGCATCTTCGCATTACTGAGCTCTGCTACCTAGGGTAAGCAGGTATTCTGAGACACTAACAGCCTTTTCTAACTGGTGCTTGTTAGAATTAAATTCAGTTAGGTCCCTTCACTAGTAGGACTTCTGCAAAATATATATAAAATGGAAGATTTTTTTCTCATACCATTGAGATGCAAGTCCACTGTAGTACATGTGCAGGATTCTCTATCCGTGGGTAGTTTCATATCCTTCCTCTTGGGCTGTTAGAGGTAAAAATCAAGACTCTTTTGAAATGTATTGCCTGTGTTCTGAAGGAGGGAAGAACGTAACAGATTTGAATGACAAGATAAGCTGTAGAAGGCAGCTTAGTTCTGCTGTTGGAGAACCTGTGTTGGAGAAAGTGTAAATTCTTCCTTGAATACTCCCATTTCTTTTAGTTGTAAGTACTGCAAACTGCACCAGTCAGAGCAGGGAATGTGGATACATTACACATTTTTTTCAGTATGTGTTAGTGTGGATCTTGGCTTTGCACTTAGTGAAACCCCTAGGAACCCTTGTTACTCTGATAAATGCCCATGCTTGCGCGCAGCCGCAGCACAGCACATAGGTGGCAAGGGTTGCAGCCAGCAGTGTGGAGAGCTGCCTCCAGCTGGTAAGTCTGGTGTGGTGGAAGGGGACGAGCAAGGGGCATGCAGGGGGGCCAGATCAAGGCCCCCACAGTGATAGAGGGAGGGAGTGAGGCTGGGCCTGGGGCAGGCACAGGACGCAGGGTGGGGGTGGCCCCCAGATCTGTGTGGCGCGGGGCAGGCTGCAGCTGGGGCCGGGGTGGGTGCGGGAAGGAAGGGGCTGCTCCCACTGCTGCGCTTAGCTTGTCCAGTGCTCATCTGGCAGCTCCCTCCGCTGCTCATCTGGGAGGGGTGGGGTGGGGGGGTGCCCCTGGATCTGCCCAGCTGGGAAGAGCCTGGCGCAGCCCCAGGCTGGCCTGTCCACATGCCTCAGCCTCACTCCCTTCCTCACCGCAGGGGCCTTGATCTGCCCCCCTCCCCTTCCACCACACCAGACTTACCAGCTGGACACAGCTCTCCAAGCTGCCAGGCTGGTATCAGAAATCAGATCGGTATTGGCCAATATGCCCCCTTAATTGGCTTTCGGTATCAGCCCCAAAAATCTTTATCGGTACACCCCTGTCCACCATCTTGGGCATTGAGCAGCAAGTTTCCACTGCAGTTGAGGGTAGGAAGTCATTGTTTTTGGCAAGACTAGATCATTACATTGCCCTGCATCGCTCCTAAAGGTCTAGACATTGTTGTCACCTGGCAAAACAGTCTTTTTTGCACTAGTACCGATTTAATGCAAAGCAGAACAGTAGATCATTTTGAAGTCTTCCTGGAGTTACTTAATGAGGATTGCTGAAACTGTGGTGTTCAAGATGCCAGCTGTTAAAGAAGCCAGCAAGTTACTTGTCTTGTCAACTTCTGATTCAGCCAGGACTGCCTTTCCCATAAACAAAGGCTAGCTCATCCCTTTTAAGACATCAGCCATGTTAATGTTTACAAAACAAATCAAAAAGAGGTAACAGTACCTTCTGTAACCGTGCCAACTTGGGCAGTATGCTGGCAATACACCAGAATTCAAGTAAGAGTAGCCCAAAGAACAAGGCCTCTGAAAGCTTGAACTTTCCAAGAGAAAGTTGTACTTTTGCCTTCCCTGCAACTATAAATGGCTAATGGCCATGTCCTGCTTGCCAGGTTTGACTTTTTAACATGAGGCAGGGTGACTCTTACTCCTCGCTATATAATTGTGCTAGATGTAGCTTTCTTTGTGAGAGCTGACTTTCTAGACAGAGGAATTGTGGTGAATCCTGCGTTGGGATATTGGCAAAATCTTTGATGTGGTGTCACATAGGAAATTACTGACAAAGCTGGAGGAGATGGGGGGTTAGTAGAACAATTGTAAGGTTGGTAAATAACAGGGAGATGACAACAGGTGGTGCTGAAAGGGGAAGTTTCAGGCTGGAGAGGGGTTGCTAGTGGAGTCCACCAAGATCAGTTTTTCAGGCAGTCTTGTTTAATATTTTTATTAATGACCTTAGCAGAAGAAATGAAGAGGTACTTACGAAATTTGGTGAAGTTGCACAGTTTGGAGTTGTCAGTTGTAGAAGGAGGATCAGAGTGCCATGTAAAAAGAACTAGATGGCCTTGAAAAGTAGAATAAGAAATGGAATGAAATAATAGTACGATCATGCAAGCTGTAAGTGAAGAGTTTATCAGTTGTAATGACTGAGGAGAAACAGGACAAATAAAAGGCAAATACATTCCTAGAGTGTGTTGGTTGATATATTAGCAATAGAAATAGGTAACTGTTAGTGCTATTGTGCAAAATATTAATGCAATCTTAGTTAGAATACGGTTCTCGTCACCTGCACTCATAAAAGATGAACTCAAACTAGAATGGAGAGCCTAGAATGGCATACAAGAGGAGACCCGAAGAACTTGGGTTGTTCAGTGTCGCAAAGTAAAGGTGAAGAGAGGATGTGGCTGCTCTATATAACTCCATCAGGGAGGAGGCTGAGGAGCTACTTCCAGCTAAGGGACAATGGTTGTATAAGAACAAAGCGAGTATAAAATTAGAAGGTGGCTTCTGACTACAGGAGCAGTGAGGCTTCGGACCAACTTTCTGGTAGGAGTAGGGCCAAAAGACTGAGGGGCCTTGAAAGATCAATAAGCAGTACCTTAAATCTTTAAGTTTCAAATAGTTAAAGGCCAGGTTGCAGCTGCCTCTGGCTGCTGACTGACTGATATTAGACCTGCTAACTAACTGATGGCTTTTTTTCCTCTGTCCCCATAGATATTTATTTGTCCTGCAGCTAAAACAAGATATTCTGAGTGGAAAGTAAGTATTTGTCATTATTTATATGAAAGTCTGTCAGCCAATTAGTGTCTCTAGCATGAGGTTTAACACAGTCTCTTTGAAAAAGTATCATATTTCATTCACTTTGACAAAATTTATTTTCCCTTTAATCCTGCCTGTGTATATACAAATACATATTTTTGGCATGCTGTTTCAACCACCCCCCCCCCCCCCCCAAAAAAAAAATCAGTGCATCTTTTATTATAATGCTTTTCTAAAATTATTGAAGATTCACCCCTCAGTGAAACCATTTGCAGTTTCCCATGTCTCAGTGTAGTGGCTTTTGTGATAGCAATTTTACAAAACCCCTGATGAGCAAAGATTTGCTGAATGACCTGTTTTTCCTGTGACAGGTTGGAATGCCCCTTTGACACAGCAGTCCAGTTGGCAGCTCATAACTTGCAAGGTGAGCAGAATGGGGGAACTTGTCAGGACCCTACCTTGTGGCCTGGTTACTTCCACCACCGCCCCCTTATCCCGCTGGCGAAAAATGCAGCATGAGCTGTACATGTTTCATTTTGCTTTCCCTAGAAACATTCTTTTCTCAGACATCTGTGCAATTGTGTCTGCTTTCTGTGGTCAGTATGTATGCACTCCTCGGGAACTTGCCCCATGGAAGAACGTAGATAAATGCCGAGTTAGGATTGTGGTTACTTTTGCTGTAGATAGTAAGACTAACTTCTGGATACTGCTATTTGGGCAAGCATTTTGCAGAACACCTTTTCACGTTTAAGTCTGTGCTGTGTTTATAGGTGGTCATCATCGGTAGTTGCTTTGGAGATGAACACGTTGGGAGATTGTATTGTAAAGAAATCTGCTGCTTAATCCTTTGTATTTAAAAAGAGCTTGAGCACCCCATCCCATGATGTGCTGGCATTCTTAAAGCTTTAAATCCAATAATAATCAATGCTTAAAACACAAAGTTAACTCACTAGGCACTGTGCCCAACTCTTAAATATTGTCACTTCTTTTCCTCTTTCTATTCTTAATTCTGCAGCAAGGTTTGGAGCAGGTCTTTAATCTCACTGTTCGCTTGACAGCTGAGTAGACAGGGTAAAGGCCTTTTAATGAGCTCATGCTTAAAAATCCAAGAAAAAGATTTTGTGTATAATAAATATTTAAGCTTTTTTTTGCACTTTGTATATTTTGCATATAGTTAATAGCTTTCTCTCTTTTTTTTTTTTTTTTCTCCAAAGGATTTCCCTTTCTTGCCCAAAAAACTTTTATTTTTTTTCAAAGAAAACATTTCCTGCTCTGTGCTTTGGCCAGAATTTCAATGCCAAAAGTTTTGCATGTGTTATGGGACACGGAATTTTTAGTACATTGGCAGACAATTTTTGTTAATACAAAACCTTTCAGCTGGTTAATGTTTCAGATTATTAAATTCCAGATGCTGTAGTTTGACTCTCTCTTTTGCTTAGGTTTGGAAAATACTGATCTTTGACACTTAGCATCTGTGAAAAAGGGAGCCTGCACCTTGATGTAGCAAAAATATTGTGATACTAGTGTACTCTAAGTGGAAAAGTGTCTTCTTATTTTTTGCTTATACCTTTAGAGTAATTTTTTGTGGAGGGTTCTTAGGAACATTTTAACACCCTGTTTTGGTTTTAATCAATGTTTTACAGCAGGGGTCGGCAGCATTTTTGGGCAGTGTGCCAAAAACACTCACAACCTGGACTTGTAAGAGGTTGGATTGCCAGTGTGAGATGGCAGGGGAGCCACTAGGGGCCTGATCCTTGTTGTGGCAGCACAGCCCTGGCCTCTTCCCCATCCTCTGCCCCAAGGCACCTGTGCACCTGCCACCAGCAGTGAGCCAGGCCAGAGCTAAACAAACCCTGGTGCAGCCACTTGCAGCCTCTCAGCTGCCTGCTACAGCCTGCCTGGGCTCTAGACAGGCCCCTGCCTCCTGCCACGGAGCCTGGGCTGCTTGCAGCAGACAGTGAGGAGGTTGCAAGCAGCTGCGCTGGGGTCCCCAGAGCCCTGGCCCAGCTCACTGCCAGCAGTAGATGTATGCACACCTCGAGGCAGATGGTGGGGAAGGGACCACAACAAGGATGGGGTCCTTCATGGCTGCCCCACTGCCTGTCCTGAGATGCACGTGCCAAGCAAAATGCCTTCGCTTTCCGTGCTCTGGCACACATACCAAGGGTTGTCTTACCCCTGTTTTACAGTCATGTTTAGTAACTTTCAGTCTTGAATTCGGAAAGACATCAACACTAAATTGTTAAATTCAAGAACGTTTGTGCCAAACTGGTACTTTTCAATCATATTGATGATTTTTGCCTTAAAGTACCACTTTTGATTGATTTCCACGAAATCACTTTTGATTGATTTAGCCAAGAAATATTTAGACCAATGGAAATAATGTAACTTCACAGTAGCAGATGCTGGGATCACATATGGACCATAGATTTGTGTGTTAATGCCTACAGTGCCAAGGCCAAAAGAGGTGACACACAATAATGTGGGAGTTAGAAGTTCAAGATCTCAAACACTTCTCTTTTTTTTTTTTTTTTTTTAAGTTGTTGATGCTTTAGCTCAGCGGTCAGCAGTGTTTTACAGCGGTGTGCTGGAATGACCCAGCTCGAGTCTTAAGCAGACCAGGACTAGTCCCCAGCAGCTGCCAGTGCCACTGCTTCTCCCCGCTGCTTGGCCGACGTATGGGAAAAGCTCCTCACTGCCAAATACCTCCAAAACCCTGTGGCTTCATGGGCTGTAGATTGCCAATCCCCGCTTTAGCCTAACCAGTTGTTAACACCACTGCCTTTGAGGTAGGATTAGCCTTGAATGGATGCTTCTTGACAGAATTCTTCCTTTGTAGCTGAACTTGGAGATTATGATCCTGCTGAGCATGTCCCTGAACTGGTGTCTGAGTTCAGATTTGTGCCCACTCAGACTGAAGAGATGGAACTGGCTATTTTTGACAAGTGGAAGGAATGCAGGTACAAGAGCTCCCAATACACTCACTGAATCTACTTCCTGACTCTTCCCTGGGTAGAGCATTTGCAAAGGCACCCCAGTGATGCCACTGATCTTCCTGTATCAGGTTGTATCTGAATGCAGTCCTAACGGCATTCCAGCAAAGAATTTTAGGGAATAAAATGTGAAAAATGGTATTTCTCTCTCATTTGCCACTACAGTTAGAGGAGAAACTTCACTTTCCATGAACAGAAAAACTAAGCAATCTGGATGAATTGCAAAATTAGATAACTTTTTTCACATAGTACATTTTGCAAAGTCCAGCTTCTCAGGTTAAAACTTTTGGAAGTGACTTTAGCATCTATAGAAAGTAGCACAGGAGCCTTCAGTGTTTTGCTAGTTACAAACCCACCGGCATTTCTTTTTATTCCTTTCCTGTGTGCCAGATTTTCCTTTGTGTATCTTTTTCCAGGCTTATGCTTTAACTTTATTTCAGAGGGCAAGCACCAGCTCAAGCTGAAACGAACTACCTGAACAAAGCTAAGTGGCTGGAAATGTATGGGGTGGACATGCATATAGTCAAGGTAAGTTTGCTCACCGGACCGTGACTTTATTTTTAGAGATGTCTGTGTTTGCAGGACAAGTATTCAAGTGCTGGGCAAAGCAAAGTGTCATAGAGGAAAACAGATTAAGCTCAAACAAGAATGTTGTGCTTGTCTAAACCATGTGATACTTAGTCTGGTTATGCACCATTGTTTTGCTTCACGTAATTACATTGTGGGATTCTGGAAGCTGTATTTTAAATGGTATATTTTTTGTTGCATATACCATGTGAAAACAGGTATTACAACTTGCATTCAGCTTAAAAGCTCTGTGAGAATGAATGAATGAAATCAAAATTGGATGGGATTTAATCGAGTATTAGTTTACAAACCACACAGAGGAAGAACAGAGCTTGTGAAGGAATAATGGTAGAGAATCATACAAGGTCATCTTTAGCTTCTGTGGATTTCAAGAAACCCTTTCTTTTCTCTATCTGGGTCTTTTTAAAGAGTTGTGTTGCTAAATAATTTACTTAGTAGGATTCTTCAATGCAGCTGGTTTGTGAGAATATGGTTACTGCAGTAAAATGCCAATTGTAGTAAACAATTGTAGTAAAATATTAACAATGACACATAGCAGGGCTGCCCAGCTTCTAAGTGGCTGGGTGCCATGCCAGTGGGGCTGCATCCCCACACTGTACCCTGTGTCCAAGCACCCCCACCACTGTACTGTGTACCCTATCTAGCACTGCCCTTCCCCTCCCCCTGCTCCACTGATGCTCTGTGCTGCACCGTGGACTTTACTGTGACTCCTCCTGCCCCCACCCCAGATGCACCATGCACGCAGGCACTGCACCTTGAGCTTTCTAGCTGCAAGCTCCCCTGCTGCACTGTGCCGCTAAGGCATGCTGAGGTGTAGGCTCCCCCAGCACTGAAGGCTGCACCTTGTTGCACTGCCCTGTTCCCTGAGGCAGAGACACAGGCAGAAAGGGAGAGCTTCGACAGCCCTTAAGTATAGAATATATTGAATGTTGGAAGAATTTGTATGCGAGTCCATGCATATGGAAATGACATAGTTTTCAACCTTGGTAACTAGGCAAGGGACGGCAATGATTACAGCCTCGGCCTGACGCCAACAGGAGTCCTTGTATTTGAAGGAGACACCAAGATTGGTTTGTTTTTCTGGTAAGTTGATTAATGAAATGTCTTAAGAGATCTTCCAGTCAGTGGTCTTCACTTTTACAGTAGCTAAGAATGTGTCTGTCAGGGGTCTGGGACAACTGGCCAGTATAACTAATCTGCAAAATATTCCATAGGATTAAAGCCGCGGGATTTTTTGTAATGTCCAAAACATAATCATTCTTGGCTAATGTTCTTGACAAATATCGTAGTGGGTTTTTGTGTGCACCATGTGTAAGAGGAGAGGGGGTGATGGGACAACCTGGGAAGGTATGCTTGGGAGTTCATGCTACCATTATGGGAGTTCATTGTGTGTTTATTTAGCACAGTGTATGGGAGGAAAGGGAAAACATTCAACCAATCACATTTAGCCTGTTTGGACATACAGGCCAAATGTGGCTTTCTTCTTAAGGTTACTTGGAGGAGAGCGGTGAACATTTCAGAACTCTTTGAAAGCAGAATACTGAAGCCAGTCTCTTGTGAAAGAAATGGCCCCCTTTCTGTCCCGCACATGCTATAAAGAAGTGAGTTCAGGCCTGAGGAAAAATATATCTATATAGCTGCATAGCATGGTAAGAAGTTTTGCCCAGTTTGTACCAATGCAGCTGTTGTACCTTAAAGTCCCTAGGCATAACACCAACCACAGTTTGTTGGAGATTTGAATTCAGCAGCAGGGGAAAAGAAAGAATGAGCAGCTGCAGCATTCAGCCTTTCAGCTCCATTGCTCTGCTAAAGCTCTGAGCTCACTGGTGTGGCAACACAGACAAATGTTGCTGTTGATCATCTCCTCTTTTCCCCTGGTGCTGAATTCAGGGGGAAGGGGAAGGGTGCAGATGGCGGCAGCGTTCACCCTCTGAGCTCTAGAGCTGCACAAAAGCATGTCTGTGGCCAAAGCCCATGCTGGTGAGTGCAGAGCTTTCATTTGTCTCTGGAGCCCATGGGGTAAAGGCCACCATTGCTTGCAGGCCAGAGGTTGAACACCACTGGTGTAAAGCACAATAAACTTTAACTACCGCATCCTACTCTGAAAAAGCAGGCAGACTTACTTAACAGTATTGGCATTCTGTATCTGTGTGACCCAGCTGGTAAGCTCATATCCTGCATCTTCCTCTACTCCATTGTGTTTTTAGTAGCATATGCTAAGTCCTGCTTTCCCACGTCCATGCTGTGCCACTTGGAACTTGCAAGTGGCACTAGTGTCTGTGGGGGCCATCCTTATTGGAGCTCTTTGAGGACCTGGACTGTGGTGCACCATGGGGCAGCTTGCCTTTACTTAATGACCTCATTGGTGAAAGTTCATTTAACCCGTGATAGCATGTGGCTTTGTCAGCCCAGCATAGCCCTTGGTTTTGCACAGTTGCAGAGCAGAACAACTGTGGAACCGTTGGAGGAGCATCTCGCCTGCTGCCAGTGGTAGCTTCATCCTTTTAAACATTTCTGTGTGTTTTGAAATCTCTTAAGCTCTTGATGAAGAGTGCCCACCTCTTCCTGTTTTGGGAATGCATTTACTGTCTAACCAAGTTGCTTCACATATTTTTAAAAATTTGCTGCTGCTTGGTGGGTGAGTTCTGGAGGAGAACACTGCATAACTTTCAGCTAGATGCTAATAGAGGGTTCAGGTTTATATGCTATTTTTCATGTTCGTTTTGCAGGCCAAAGATAACCAGACTGGATTTCAAGAAGAATAAATTAACGCTAGTTGTTGTTGAAGATGATGAACAGGTAGGTAAACGTTTGCTCTTGGCTGTTTTGCTGCTATATAGGTAAGATTTGCAACTATTAGTTACTCTTGGTGGAGTTTTTCTTCTAAGTTTGCAGGAATAACATGGCAGCACTGTGGGATTTCTACTTGTGATTTTTGGGAGGATGAAAGGGATTATATATAAAAGAAATTGAGCCATGTCTCTGTTTTTTCTTTTATTTCACTAGTACACTGTTTAAATAGCATGGGCTACAGCACTTGCAAAGAGTGAGTTTGCTGCTTTGCATTGTTTAAGAAAGCTGGCAAAGGGAGGTATTATAAATCCCAAGCAGTTGGACTTCATTTCTTAAACATATGCCAAAAGTGCTCCCAGGAGGAGAAATTGCTTTGAGCTGAGCAGATTATGAAAAGAGGAGATTGGTAGCTCATGGAGGCTGATCTGATTTGGGAAAGAGACTAGAAAGTTAGCCGTCATAAAAAGTACCTTTCTTGGAACAGCATCAATCCATAATTGTTCAGAGCTTGGCTTCTTAAAGGGCCTGGATCTAGCTCTCTTTCCAACAGCTTAAAGAATTGGACCAATTGTTACAACTTTTGGAAAGGTTGTCAGTCTCCCCCCACCTTTTCCCCTTAAAATGTTTTTCCTCCAACCTTTGCAGAGATCAGTTTAACATAGGGTCTCTTGTAGGCACAGTATTGCTAACATCCAGTTCAGTAAACATTTTCAGTGCTCCCCTCCTTGACATGCGTGGTCTTGTGTGTATAATTTGGAGCAAGCCAGTACAGGCAGTGGCCTTTGTAAGCCACCTTCCATCAGTAGCGCACACTTGCTAACTTGTTAAGCAAATTTTAGCCGATGGCTGGTAACTGTCCTGGTTCTTTGCTCCCAGCCCTGAGCCAGTCTGGACTGACAATTATAATTAATTTCTGACTTGCTCTGTGGGAAAAAAAAAGACCAAACCACCTGTTCATGCAATTAAAAATAATGAATATTCTCTCCAGCAATTGCTGTTTATATTGGAAATATTATACCCATCCAAGACTGAGGCAAAGATAAAGGTGCAAGATCTTTCCATTGCAGGTGAATATAAGTTTTATTTAGTGCACGTCTAGTTGTGCGGTGAACTCTTGCTCCAATTTGTCCAAGTCCCTGGGAGCTCACAGTGTGTGTTCTGTGCTTTAAGGGAAAGGAGCAGGAGCACACCTTTGTCTTTAGGCTGGATCACCCTAAAGCCTGTAAACACTTATGGAAGTGTGCAGTGGAACATCATGCCTTCTTCCGGCTCAGGGGACCTGTGCAACAAAGCTCAAGCCGATCAGGCTTCATTCGTTTGGGATCGCGGTTCAGATACAGGTCAGTATCGTCTCACATTCAGTATCTTGTCTCTTCCCATTTCTAGCCTCTTGGAAAGGGGTATACAATTTCCATACAGTGCAAACACCTCAAATTGTGACGATAAATTATTTAAAATTAACCCGTTACTGTGGTAACCAAGTACAGTCTTAAATGAACAAGCCTCTCCTGATTTGCTAACTGAAGTTGCCGCCTTCTCCTCTCTGCCCTAAAGCCGACTCAAGACCAATGTCCATGCTTCTTGCATGGAGTATATTATGCCTGTGCTTCATGGGAAACAAGAGAAGGCCTGTTTACTTCCAAGTACAAATCAGAAGGTTAATTTAGATCTGTGCAGACCAGTAGCACTTTTGTCCTGGTCATCTTGAAAATCGATCTCTGCCCTCCCATCCCATAGAGGATGTAATGTTGGCCTTCCTTAGACTTGCACTTTTGACTGTGTTGGCTCTCTGGAGACTCCTGAATTCATGTTGATTCTCGCATTGTGATAGTGCCTACAAACCTTAACTCAGATCAGGGCTTCATTGTGTGGAAAACTTCACAGATTTGCAGACAGTCCCAGTGTCTATCCTAAGGAGATGCTGTAAGGCTGGCAGTCTTTCATCTGTGGGTTGGCGTGGGGGGGAGGCATGCTTCATTTCTGCTTGGGGTTCCACTTCAGTCCCTTCAAATTGACTCTGAGTCCATTAAGCTCTTGCATCTTCAGCCGAGCAAAATTATGCTCCACTGAAGCATAATTCTTCTTGCCTGTAAGTTGTGATAAATGCATCTTATATCATGAAAATTATAATAAACATGGGTGAAAGGTTTGTGTTACTTTGAGGACATTTGCAAATATAAGCAGATAATGTATTTGCATGTTTTGTAGAAAGCTGAATTTGTAGCCAGGGTTAATAAGTGAATGTAGTAAAGCTATAAGGAAGTGAACGTAGAGCTAGTGAAGAAGATGTACTTATCAACTAAGGAGAATGAAGTGATTTATCCAAAGAACAGGTACAGCAATTGGCTGTCAGGGAATCTCCCCATATACTGTCTTGCCAGAACAAGTAAGTAGCTTGCTTCTCTGATCCTTGGCCTGTCTGAGACCTCCAGCAAAGATACCCCGTGTATCAATAGTCTTAGGGTGGGTCCCACTTTCTAGGAACTGTATGGAATTCACAGACTCTTTTCACACCTTAAGCCACTGAAAATGGTTAGATGGTTGCAAATTGCAACCGTTCTTGACCTGCACTGGATTTTAGCAAGTGTGCTGGAGTGGAAAGGTATTTGACTGCAATCACTTGAGCCATGAGCTTCCTCCTAAAAATAAATTGACACATCTTTAGAAAGCATAAAGGACCCAAGAGTGAGAACACTTGGATTCTAGTATCTAGCCCTTATACTTCCTTTCTGACCCAGGGTATCTGACTTTAAATTGTCTCTTTTTTTCTTCTCTCAAATGTGTGTACAGTTACTGTGGTTAGTTTGTCCTTCTGCACACACATGTGCATTTGAGGAATTTAATCCCTTAAGCAGTGGTATCCAATCTTTTTTTGCCTGGCACGCCACAAGTTAAGCCCCAACCCTCCCAGAGTGCCACTCTGATCCTCCCCCCCCACCTGAGAGTTTGTGTCCTGGGGTGCTGGAATGTGGGCAGGGAGAGGGAGGAGGGATAGGATTTAGCCTCTGGCTACACAGTGCAGATTGGGGACAGGACATGGCTGCAAGCAAAGTGTTACTGCCAAGAGCCAGGCCAGGCCTTCCCTGGCCCTGCAACTTCTGCCACTTTACATGGTGAACAAGGATCCAAAGCCCTCAATTTGGCAATAGCTGCAGAGCCAGCGAAGGGTTAACCTCATTCTTGGCATTGACACCTCTCAGGACCATTGTCTAGCAGCCCTTACTCTGCTCCAGGGCTAGGGGCTGGAGCCTTCCTGACTCCATTCTAGTGCCTCCCTTTACTGAGCACCTGGGGCCACACGTCTGGGTTACTCCTACTGTAAGGGATCATTGCTTTATCTCCTGGAAAATGGGTGTAGGATTGCAATGTTTGCAAAACCTTAAGTTTCAGATAGAAGGCATCATAGCAGTGTAAAGTTGTTTTCTGGGGGTGGGTTTTATCTTACCGATGAAATCATTGCCAAGCCATAAATCAAGCACATATGTCAGATGAATGACTTTTTTCCTTGTCCTGGCTGTGACTTTACATTTTGTCTTCGTAAACAAGCAATTTATTCCATCCTCCTGTACTTTAATTGATGTTTTAGTGGGAAAACAGAATACCAGACAACCAAGACCAACAAAGCCAGAAGGTCATCATCATTTGAAAGGAGGCCCAGCAAGAGATATTCAAGGAGAACACTACAAATGAGAGGTAAACAGTAACCATCCATTGTGGGCACAGAGAGGTTCAAATATTGCATCTTGGTCTGAGCTCTGGGAGGTGATTTCCTCCCCCCGCTTTCCCCCCACCCCTTATCCTGACTGATGGATTTCAGTCACTGCTCTGGACAGAATGCACTCTGTGCTTATCAAAGGGGCTGTGGAGCTTCCAGCTTGCTTGGCAGCTAAACCACCTGTAAAATAGTTTGTATAGGAATGTAACCGCAGCTAGCCCGTCACAGGAATATAAGATTCAAGATGTCAATTTAGTTAGCAGAACACTAGTAATTAAAGGTTGATCCCACCTTGAATCATTCATTGATGCTCTATATTTTCTGAATCGTTCCAAAAAACCCCATCCTTGAGAGATCCTGCGCTCCTGTCTCCCTCCATGCATCTTGACAATTGCTCCATCTGGTGACGTATGTGCTGCTAGTTATTCTTCCTGAGATTCTCATGTTGTCGTCTCCCAGTCTCGTGTGCGCCTGGGATGACCTCCAGATCCCTGCTGAAATCCCACTATTTGAGCTGTGTCTTCTACAGCTCAGCTCCTTGTGCTGTCTGCTTTTTCTCTTAATGCTATTCTCCAATTTAAGACTGTATTATCTGTGGTTCGTATGTACATACTTGTTTTGCAGTTTCTTCTTTGCTGTTATGCTAGCCATTTTGTCTAATTTAGGTATTAAGGTCTGTTAGAGTAGGCCATGTTATCTTAATTTATTCGTGTTGTGTGCACCTATGGTAGTATCAATACATATTTTAACTGATACTGCATGCAAATAGAGTTTGTAATCAGTCCTTTCCAATTTTTTTGCAGCAAATAGTACTAAACTTGAAGAAACAAGGTAAGAATAGATGCATTTTGATGTTTCAGTGTATTTTCTTTTCTGTATCTGTTGTATATAATTAAGCTTGTGTTAGTTCAGATGTTAAGAACCACTGTTCATTTAAAGGTTGCTTTTTCAGTTCTTGTAGATTCATGCCAATTTTCAGTATAAAATTGCTGGTTTGAAGCGTCCCTATTGTATTGAAGGATGTTGCCAAACATGCTTCCTGGCAGGCAAAGACATTTGTGAATTCTGGTGTAACAGATTTATGACTGAACTCCCGTCCTTGCCAATTACCAACTGTTGTTGAGAAGAGCTGTAGATTTTAGTGCTGCCTTGCAAAAGTCAGCCAAACAAGAATATGGTGATCTTTCCTTGCTGATGTCTCTACTGTTATGTGATTTTTGTTTAGAGCAGGTGTAACTCAGGAATTGGTAGGGATATTATAGAACAAGATGCATCCACTTTCTTTCCCCTTTCATTCTAACTTGACCTGCAGTAATGAATAGGGGGGTTGCCCAGTGTTTTGAAGTCAGGCTTTCTTTTGTGTTCTGCATTTGTAGAACAGGGAGCACAGTGGTTGGTGCCCAGCTTACCTGGTCCCATGGTCTTGGAGGAGTGGCACGTGGGGCAGGTCTCCAGGCCGAATCTTGGTCACCCCTGATCCAACACAGTAAGGTCCTTGACTGTGCTCCTGAGCACTGTTGCAGTATACATGAGATCTACCTTCTAAGGATCCATTCTCCTTCTGCTCAAACCATTTAATGTTTTCTCTTTACTTCTCTGTCCCAATGGCACTTTCACATAAAGTTTCATGTCCAAAGGGAAAATCTCTCGGTTTGGCCATGGATCTTTGTGCTTGTAGGGCCAGGCTTCACACGCAGCTGGGGCAGTCCACCCCAAGGCCACACATATGGACTCAACTGGTAGGTGAATTTTCCCCTTTACACTTCCTCCATTCACTTCCCCAAGACTTGACCCAGGGACCTTTTGACTGAGTGGCCTCCATGTTGCTCCCCTAATGAGCCAGATAGTCATTAGGGAACCCTGTGAGGCTTTTCTTCTCCCTAAGCTCAGTCTCCACCATGCATATAATTTTACTGTATCAAGGGACTGCATTTTGTGCAAGATAGATGTGCAGCACTGGTATAGTGCACTCCTCTCTCCCTTTTCATGAAGGTCAGCCTTCATCCCTATTTGCATCATCTGCTGCTGTGTACTTAATTGTCCTCCCCAGGGATGTTGAACTCATTTGGCCCACAGGGTGCAGGACTGGGCTATGGCTGGATGAATGGTGCTTGGGCTGGATGGGACCCATGGAGCCACTGTCCCACATGCTATATCCATTGCCTATGCTGCCTGCTCTGGCTAGTCCAGGACTGCATTGCTCACAGTGCTTGCTCTGGCCGTTCTGGAGTATGAGTCACATACAGTGTCCACTCCAGCAGGTCCAAGGCAGGCACTGCATGGGTCTCTGCAGTGTGGGCTCCAGACCAGCTGGAGGGGGTGCTGCATTTGGCCTGTAGGGAGCTGCCCAGACTGACCCCAGGTAGGTGCTACATGTAGTATGGGTCGCAGAGTGTGTGCCGTGTGGAGGAGGCCCTGCATGTACCATGTGTGAGTTAGTTCAGGACTCAAGGCTAGCACTGGGGGCTGGAAGATGTGGCTCTACAGGCCACATCTGGCACCTGCCCTGGATCCTTGACATAGCTGGAGAATTGCAGTGTGCTTCTGCGGCTGCAGAAGGCTCTCCAGCATGTTGTGGAATGATGATTTGTGCAATGTGATAGCCATGCTTATGCTTTTGTTCTGTTGTTCAAGACCTTGAGAAAGCAACATCTTGCCAGGTATAAATGCAAATCAGCATGCTGGTGTACCTGCAATCATTAAGCTCCAATGTTCTTGGTATGTGGTGCTAGATATCTCTTGAGCAAGACGGGCAAGTTGTTCTTCTCCCACAGCGCCTCCCACAATATTCCCTAAGGGCCTCATCTCCAGTGCTAAATTGAATTCCTTTTAAGGCTGCCTAGATTATACTGAGTTAGTGGATCTTCCTCTAATAATCCAAAGCTTCCCCCTAAAAAAGCAAATTGAAACAATACAAAGTGGCTGTAGGGGCATTTTTAGTTTAAAATTCCTGTTTGTAGATACTCTCCCGTGCATGTTAGATGTGTGCCTACTTAGTAACTCCATGTGAATCCAGCTCACATGGTTAAAAGCTAATGGTGGCAACTGAGTGGATAAAACCAAGGAGAAATGAAGCTGAGTATTGCCACTCCAGTGACCTATTAGAGCTGTCCACAAGCTGCTGCAGATTGAAAATACCCACATCAAAACAATGTGTAATGCATGAGAACAGTAAAAACCTGATTGGGTTTCACTGTGACCTTGGGGTCAGCTTTTCACTACTGGTTTGATGTTGCGGATGCAAGGGGATATTTAATGTGGCAATCTCAGTGGGGTGGAGGCAGATGGAATTTGAAAGTAGTAAAAATGTAAAAGCATGTTTTACAGGGCGCGTAATGCCCGAAGAGACATGGTACATGCAATCACACACGTGGGGCAGGAAGGCAAGTGGGAATGGGTGCCCTAAGGAGCTATGGCAGCGTTTGATGATGGAGGGAGCTCTCTTCCTCCTAAGGTAGGGATGTCCAAATGGAGCCTGTGAACCACATGTGGCACAAGGAATTAAACAACGGCTCATGGGGTTTGTTGATGTAGTTGCCACAGCCTCTGTGCTGGCATGGCTCTAGAAACTAGGCAGTAAACACTGCCACTGCTCACCCCTACACCCCATTGTCTGCCACCCAGTTCAGGGTCTGTCATCACTGCTAGTGATGCAGATCAGTAGCAGGGGAAGGTGGGGAGCAACAGCACTGTTCGCCTCTTGGTTTCAGAGCGGTGCCAATAAGCTGCCACCCTGCTGCTAGAGGTGGCTCATTTGGGCTGCAGGAAGCCCCCTGGTCCATATATGGCTTGTGGGGCCAAGTAAGTTGAACAGCCCTGCTCTAAGGTAACAGTCAGAGCATGTGAAGTCCAGACTGGAGGAGGGGATCAGGTGGATATGAATGCCAAGCCATGGAGAGATGGTACAGTATATCCAGACTTTGAGCTGAAAAGGGCAGGAACCTGCTAGACAAGAGAACAAGGTTGCTTTTGTTCCATCCTGGAATGAGCGCTGTAGTCGGGTATTGGAGCAGGGGCTGAGCCTCCAGGTTCTGGTCCTCCTCTCTTTACTCTACTTCCTCACTTTTTTACCCTTGCTTGCAAAGTGAAGATAATACTGATCTACCTCCCAACAATGTTGGGTGTTACAATACTTAATTAAATATCTGTAAAGTGCTTTGGGAACTTGTGAGTAGGGGTTGTATGCAGCTTAGTTATCAGTGCTAATAACTGCTCTTCACACTTTGTAATTACATCTTCCCAACAAAGGCTCAAGGTGCTTACAGTAAGAGAACAGATAACTTATAAACCAGAAGAATGACAAGAGAAGGGAACAACTTGCAAAAGAACTAGAATATGGACATAAAACAGCTTTGTCCTCCTTCCCTACTATACTTTCACATTTTCAAGCCATCTTGGGGACTGGAAGGGAGAGTTGGATGCAGCTGTCCCTGCCTAACCCTCATCTTGGTGTGGTGTCCTGGCATATTCATCCCCAGAGCAGTAGATGCCCTTTCTGGAGCCATACACTGAAGCGTCACTAATTAAAATGAGTCACAAAAGATTCATGTTGTTCTGTTCCTTTGTATTAACTTGGCGTTGAGGAATGCACTGCTTGTACAAGCATTCCTCCACATTTTTTTTAAAGTGCAATGCTCTGCTGTTGGTGCCCTGAGCCTCCTCCCCTTGCAGAGATCTTGATAAGAAAGGAAGCAGCTTGGATGATCTTTGTGACATTCATATATGACTATTGAAGTAAAAATGCTCCAAGTGTTTTTAAAATGCCTGTTGGAGTCAGTTTATTTAACTAGCACATTGGCATGTTGATTAGTGATTGTCCCAGGCCAAATGCAACCAGGACATTAATAAAATGTAGTCAGAGCTGTTTTTTGAACTAGGGATTGGAAAAAATGCTTGTTCACACCTTGTTTGCATGTGTTTTTGTTGTTGTTTTTCCTTGTCCAACTCTACCCTGTGGGAATTGCTTGTCTGAGACTAAATCCCCATCCCCTCTGGCTTCCCTTCTGTACCATAGTTGCATCCATCTCCAACCTAAATAGATGGTAGTTGAAGTGCTGGTTCAATATTGCTGACATTCAGAGTATTTTCTAAAGCCCAGATTTCTAGAGCTGCCTGCCTGCATTAGACTGCTTTTAATTAAACTAGCTCTTGTGGAGAAAATCATGAAAATGTTAAATGAGTGCAGATTAGAAACCTTCAAGGCAAATACAAGAACTCAAAGTGCACATGCATGCACACACACATCTATGTGTAATTATAAAAAAATATGATTTTTCAGGGGAGGAGGGAACTAACTTGATTTTTTGCAGGCCTTGGTTGTGGCATGACTCTAGACTCATCGCTGTTCATTCTGCTGGAACCTGTACAGAAAATAGGTTTATGAAATGTTGCTGTAGAGCCGTGCTGGTCATTCTTCTGGCCCTGGAGGCTGAATGAATGGCGTGGGGCTGTTCTGCAGATCCTATGGGTGGGATTGGTCCAAGGGCGAGATCCAGCATGGGGTCAGAGCACAGGGTTAGTCCTCAGGCCTTCTGCTTGGAAGAGCTCCCAGAGCCACAGCAAATAATGCTGTCCCTACCCCTGCTCATCTGCCACCGAATTTCTGTACCCATGGGGAGTCCCCTGTGCTGAATAAAATGACCCTGTGCAATGGATTCAGCCCCTGTGCTGAAGGTTGAACATCACTGCTTTACAACAGTTGGACAAAATTTGCAGTATACAGAAATGTTCCTTTTGCCTGGGCCTTGCATCAAAGGTATGTTTAGTTAAATTAGGAAATCAGGCCAGAGGAACAGGAAAAAGTGTGAACTCTCAGTCTGAACAAATCAATTGTGATAACCCCAATCACACTGAAACAAGGCTAGTATAAAATTTTAAGCTTCCTTTGGATAGTGAATTTTTGCTGTTTTTAAATACTTTAAAAAGACCTCTATTTAACTCATGCTGCCTGAAAAACTTTGACATTTTGATAACCCACAAAATTATAAGCATGTTTGCTTTGTGCCCTAAAGATTCTGATTTTAAATTATTCTTATCTTTCAGCATTCCAAATAATGTTGTAAACCAAAATAATGGATCACAACAAGTAAGTCAGTTTTATTCAATTCAAAAACCATTTTCCTGACCACTGAAGCTTTATTTGGTTTTGATAGTTTGGGGCCCTTTTCTAACCTTTTCTACCTCAATGTTTTCCTTTGACTCTCTTTGAAGTTAAGCTTTAAGCTAGTCTTTTATTTTAGCTACTAAATTATAACTGGGATTGGTTAACTTCACATGGAGGATTTCAGCTAATCAGCTGGAGAGAGAATCCCTCTTCCAACATGTAATTATTAAATTATGCATAAAGTAATTAGCTTTGCAAGATATGGGAGTGTAGCAGCAGCCCAAAACATGTTGTTATTACTGTATATTGTAGTCAAAGGAAGAATCAAGTCTGCTGCTCAGCAGTTCTGCTTCCATCTCTTCTTAGTTTTGTATTTTGCTGTTATTTCTAAAAGGGTGTGGACATTTGCAGCTTACATTATCTGCAATATCTAACATTTTCAAGAACTTTGGGGGGGGTGTCTCCTCCCCCCCCCCCAAATGCGTAGGCTCTGCCTTGTCATTGAAAACAGCCATTCCCAAAAGATATCCTTCTCCCATTCCAGTAAGCAAAATGATGCATCAGTGCAGTTTGGGTTCCTGATTCATAGGCTCTCCAGTGGGAATGCCTCGGACCACTTCAGTGGAGACAGCAGAACTGATCCCAGCAGACAGGACACTAGCAGGGGCCTTGTCGGGCTATTTAAACAACAATTTCAAGCAAGTCCATGTTCATAAATACTCACTCCACTTGCAAGGCAGCCTACTTCCATTTGGCACTGATGCTTCAGTGCCATTTGAGGGGTTGTGGGATGCAAGTAGACTTCACTGAAGCAATCTACGCTTTATCGTGCAAAGCTATGGATTGCTGTTGCAAAGCTACTCAGAGGAGAATCATTGCTGCACCCAAGCCATCCATGATAGGAAAGAGAGGCAGCAAGCAACAGCTGTCTCACAGTCCCAGGGAATCCAGTGTGACTGTGGAGATGCATCTTCAGTAGAGCAGAGCTCGCTAAGGGAATAGGCTTGTCTAGTCCTGTGCTTGGGCATGAGAAGAAGTGTTGTGTGACTGTTCTTCATGTGTCCTCGTCCTCATGCAGCAAAGTGTTAAAGTAACTTGATTGTTTTGTTTCCCAAGAGCTGGAATGCAAAGCCAGCCTTGCCTGTGGTAAGGACAGCTCCTTCTGGCCCAGTCTTGGTGGAGATAGAAAACCTGCCTCGGAGCGCCGGAGCCAACCAGCAAGACAAGTCATGGTACGTCGTGCTTTGCTTTGCAACGGGAAGGTTGCTGCTTATGCATTATTGAAATACTTTTCTCTTATCTAGTCGGTTTGCTCTTAGATAAGCTATTCATATTCTGCCTTTAACAAGAATTAGCCGTGGGCCACATGAGTAATGACATGATAGGAACACTGCTTTGAGCCCAGGCTGGGTGTGCTGTGGAGGCAACAGGCTCAGCTCCTGGAGGACTTGCTGTTGCCTAGCAGTGACTCCCACTGGTGGAGGCTGCAGCAGCATTTTCTGATCGTGGAGGAAGTCGTTTTGCCTTTGTCAGCCAGCACAGTCCTGATAACCCAGAGCCTAGTCATGAGGCCCAAGGGGAGTCACGTGGGTGTCTGTCTAGATCCTTAGTGTACATACACCACAAATCAGAGGCTTTCTGGGTCTCTTCCAGAAGTCTTATGACATGGGTAAATGAGAGAGGAGGATTGTTTGTGGAGACTGAAATGGTTGATAAGAGCTTGATCTCTTCACTTAAAATGTCTGCTTGTGGTGCTCATTGAATTCAAGCCCATCATGTCCTACATGGCCATTTGTAACTTCATTATGTCTCCCTTGGATCTTGGAAAGGGAACTCTAATTTCTGTTGCACGTTGAAGAGCAGCAGTGATAAATTGACGCCGATGTAAAGCTTTTATACTAAGCTGTTTCAGCCCTCCACAGAGAAGCCCCTTTTCCTCTGGGGCTGAATCTGAATCTCTTTTGCTGCAATTTGTCTGGAAAGGCATGAAAGGCAGAGCTATGCAAATGTGGATAATGCCTAGTCCTCATAGCTTAATGAAATGAATGTATCTTGATTTATGGAAATCGATTATTTCAAAATACCTAATCTATGTGGTGGATCTTGGATATAAAGAGGGAAGATAATTCTGCTGTGTATTTGCTGCATTGTATTTCAACTTCAGTCAAAACTCATGATCAAATGGCATTTCTCTTTCTTTTGCCCTTGATTTGCCTAGTAACTGAAATTGTGCTTGTCTGTGGTGAGATCTCACTGGTCCGTCGATCTCTTCCTGGTGGTGGTGGGTGAAAGGTGGCTGTACCTTTTCTTGCCGTCTTCTCAGTATGATTTTGTTTTGTATTCACTTGGTCTAACTGCAAGGTGCTTGCTAGAAACTGGTAATGGCTTCATTTGAAACATGCGACTCCAGCTCCAAACAGCTCTACTTGGGTTTTTTATGATGCTAGATCTAAAGTTAAGTAGCATCCATGAAACTTCTGCTCAAAAGCGTAAAACTTCACGGTCCATCTCTTGCAGTTTTGATCCTAGTATGCATGTGTCAGGATTTAAAAGCCTGAACCTTGTTTCTGGCAGACATGGTCAATGCATCGAGGCTTCCTTGCCAGATTCAGCTGCTACAGAAGGAAACATCTTTTGACAGGGGTAGGGAATAGGGGGAAGAGGGGATTGCGGGGTTACAGTTTAAAAAATGTACCTCTGTGTTACCTAACCTAGTGTACCAGAAGATAAACTGTCTTTGAATGCACTACACTGTCTGATCAGAAGAAAGTGAAACTAGCTAGGTAAAATATTAATAATTATTGTAAACGCATTAGAAGCAGGGGGTCTTTTTCTCTTGGCAAAATGTTTTTAACATTGGCTAAAAAACTCTGCTGCCTCCTGTGGTAAGGTATTCCTTAGTGGCAAGGAGTACACTATTAGGATTGGGAAATAAAGAACAGTTTGGAGCTGGGTTGTCAACCATGCGTGCTACATAAGGGTATCGCCGGCTGGAAATGGGGTTAATTGAATGTCTTGCTGGAACGCACGTGTCTAGTTGGAGGATCACAACTTTCATGTCTTGAAATCTTAGTGTCTTGGTGCTGTTGACAGGTTTCTTTTCTAAACCTCCCTCTGCCTTCAGTTGGCCTGTTTCTGCATGAATCTGATTTGGCTCCTTTTAGGAAAAGTCCTCCTTTAAAAAGTTCTTGTCCACGGATAGCTGTAAAATACCGTCGTATCTCTCCCTCTCTTTCCCATTCTGGTTTTTCTTTTTGATGGTGGAGGCTAGGATCCAAACAACCTGCATAGTTTGGGGAATTGTTCTTTGCAGATTCCTTGATTGGCTCTACTACAGCTGCAGCTCTTCCCGATTTAAATGTCTCGTTTAATTTTAAACTGGAAAGGTGCAAATGCCAGCAAAAATTAGGGGCCAGATCCTAGGAAGTACTTTGTCAGATAGGAAAGTGTTCAGCATTTTTGCTCTTTGGTATTGAAACCCTATCCTCCATTATTTAAGAACTAAGACTGTAAGAATTGCCATTTACTGGGTCAGACCATAGGTCCATCTTGCCCAATATCGCGTGTCACGCAAGGGCAGAAAATGGATGTCGAAAGGGAGAATAAACTGGAGGTGACCAGGGTTTTCGGGGGGTTTTTCCCCACTGTTCCTCTCTCACTTGCAGCCTCTGGTATTTAAAGTCTAGGAAGTTTGGATTCAGAGGCTGTATCCCTAACTCCCATGCTCATTAGTTGTATCCCTAACTCCTACCCTTTTCCTCCAAGAATTTATCCAATCCCTTTTTGAATCTGGCTAGTGGCAGCTTCTACCACACCTTGTGGCAATGAGCGCCACACTTTAATTGCACGTTGTATGAAAAAGAACTTCCTTTTGTTGGTTTTAATTATCCTCAGTACAAAAATGGTCGTCCCCCCCCCCTTGACTGTGCAAACCAGATATAGACTCCCGGCGGTCTGAATTATTAACTGTAAAGCTGAAGACTCCCTAAATCGAAGCAGTCTTTAGCTTGGTTTTGTACTAAAGGAGTTGCTGCTTAGGTAAGAGAAGAGAGGAGGCAATAGCAAGCTGGCAACTGTGTTTCCTTATTATGAAGCATGCCGAGGTCTTAATACCTGCCGCTGGGAGCTGGTTTTTGCTTTGATCCTTGAACAGTTGACCTGGGGAATAGCGTGAAAACCAAAATATCCAACCGTCATTCTGACCATGAGCCTCAATGGGTCATTTCTTTACCATACATGCTGCAAAGAACAACATTTTGAACTTACTCGGAAGTGACCTTTCCTATAAATCTCCTCTCCTTTCTAAAGGAGGACTACCCGTGAACACTAATCGTTGTGAATCCTGCATGTTCCTTCTGCTTCCCTGCTTTAATGCTCATGACCTCTTTCAGCTAATGCACTGCATGCTTAATTGTCTGGCATGGTTAGAAATGTTAAACCCGACGTACTGGGACAGAAGAACTGATGAAACTTGAACGCTTTGTAGCTGTACCTGATTGCCAGCGTGGATGAGCAGCAACAATGCTCCCACTTGTTTCTGGTTAAACTAATGGCCCAACTCTAAAGTTACTCCCTTTAATAGAGGGTGTTTGTTTTAGAAATTTGCTCACTTGAATAGCTTATGTATGAGAGAGAGCACACTTACTTTTGTGATGGTATCTTCCTGCAGCCTCTCTCAGATCATTAAAATAAATGATTCCTAATCTGACAAAGACCGTACTGAACAGTGCCTCATTTCAGTTCTTTGTTTCCCATCAAAGCTTTTTGTGAGAAGTGACCAAAATGTTCTAAAATCAAACCATGGCATTGGGTTGCTTATCTTATCTGCCCAGGGATGCAGTACCCAAGCTTGACTGCTTCCTATATTAATACTACTTGGCCTCTGTGTGTGTATATATATATGTAAAGGTCAGGACAGTGCTTTAAAATTAGCAATGCTGTGTCCTGTTACTTTCCCTAAGCTTTTGAAGACGTAATACCAGGCAAGTTATAGGTTTGCACTGGCTGTATATAGTCATTTTTGTATTCTTGTATGAAAAAATGTTGTGTGTTTTATAAACCAATTTGGAGACACATTCTCTGTTTTTCCAAGTCTTGGCCTTTTCCAGAAATGATCCATGCTCAATCACACTCTGGTACTGACCAGGTACAGCTATTATCAGCTGCTTCTTGTAGTTCTTTGGTGAATCCCAACTAATACGATGTGATAAATTTGTACACTCCCTCTTTCACTGTGATGATCATTTCTGTGGTACACTTTTTCCCTCCACCTCCTTGTTATCCTCTTGCCTTAAGAGTCTGTCTTCTGTGTTATTTTTTAACCTTGCTGTTGAATGCAATAGCTTGTTTGTACTGTGCGTTGAGATGTCATTTAAACCCTTTAATGCTGCTATCAGAGACGTGTGTTCTTTCATCATCTGCAGAATGGGGGTAATTCTTGCTCATCTTTATAAAGAGCTTTGCACCCTGTGGCCTCAAGTTCAAACCAAGCATTCATTTCTAGCAGGGGAGATTTTCACCGCTAGGAATCTTTCCAGGAGAGGGAGCAGTACAGGCTTTCAGCCTGCAGTCACCCCCTTTCCCCTGCTCTCCACGCCTTCCACAGGCCTGGAGTTGGGGGGGAATCCCAGTCTGGGGAAGGCAGGAGAAGCAGAGGCTGTTCCAGTCCCCTCCCAGATCAGCCTGGGAGATCCCGAGTCTGAAAAATGGCTTGGAGGGCTATGCCCCACTGGGCCGCTCACCGCTTGGACCAGACCAGGAGGGGAGTGTACAAGTGTTCATTCTTGCAAGGAAGTTTCTCTCACTTTCCAGGTTGACCCCTGGAATATCTTTGTCCCAGGAGGAGGTGGGGCATTTTTTCCCGCTGGGAGGAATTGAATGAACGATTGTACGATTGCAGTCTCTACCAAGAAAACACCTGTGTGTGGTCTTGGATGAAGAGCAATTTGTCAGTCACAAATCAGTATGCAAGGGGTGCCTTGACTTTCCATGTAAAGGTTCAGCA